CGCTGTTGTCATGGTGCCACCCGCCAGGTGCCCTCAAATTGACGATTCACGTGGTTTCTTTGCGCATGTTGAGGATGCAAGTAAATCATGGCCCTACTCAATCCGGGTACCCTGTCGGCACACCATTTATCACCCCCGTATGCATTGGGTACCTTATAATCTTTTCACTAGAGCATCAGGTTTCCTCCTCTCTTTGCTTTGTGGTTTAGAGTTTGACAATGGCTGGTTGAGCGTTGACAGTGGTTGGAGATGTCTTCTAAATATAGAGTTTCTGCTTTATGGTTCAGGGTTGAAATGACTTGATACAGTAGATGTTTTTGTCTTGTTGTGGTTTGTAGCAGTTGCGAATGGTTGAAATAGACAAAAGCAACTCCTAAACAGTTCATAGTTTTCCTTGGCGAGTAAAGAAAGCCACACGGAAGCCAGCCTCGTCAAACGGCTTCACCGGCAGCTCCTGGACGTTGGCCCACAGGGAGCTAACAAAGATTCCACAGTCAGTACTGCTGAAAGAAACCCTGCGCCAGCCTTGGCCGGATCAGGAATGTTTCTCTATTTGACAATGATTGGAGAGCGGGCATCTCTCACGAAAAACAATCCACTCATTCTCCAACGATGATCGAAGTGCACACATTGTGTCATGCCGGATGGAAGACTGTAAATTGCCAAGAGCAAACGGTAGATGCAACCACTTTCCATGATTGATTCTTGAAATCCAACCATCAAAAGTTAAACACCTGAATCATTTCACTAAGAAATCCACATAGTTTTTTGAGAAACTACTTAGACCATCTTAGACCCTCCAAACCCCTCCCCAAAACCCTCCTTCTCAGGAAAGGTCTTTGGAGCCCAAGGCTTTGGATTTGCCGGTCTCGAACTACCGTCTCGTCGCGCCCCAGGACGAGACGCGCCATCAGTGGAGTTTCCAGAAAGGACACCCCCAGCTTTGGAAGGAAGACGTTGGCTCTATCCCAACCTCCCGGGGCCCATCCCAACCTCCCGGGGCCCATCCCAACCTCCCGGGGCCCATCCCAACCTCCCGGGGCCCATCCCAACCTCCCAGGGCCCAGTGGATGATGGTGAGATGGCAGGCTGACATCCTTTAAAAGAGTATCATGTACTGCCTGTCGTAGGTATATAGTAGGACAGACCAAGGAATACATATGGAACACCCAAACATCAAATCGGCCAAATGGCCAGGTCACGGCAGGTCAAGGCCTTGACAAATTGTGGGCCCCAGAGAGAGAGAGAGAGAGACTGAAAAAAAAAAACGCAAAGCACCACATTCAGACATAGAAAACAACCGAAATACCATTAGCCGACCCTCCATCATCGGCCGGTCCTCGCTGGACCGACCTCCTATAGTGTTTCTTGTCTCACCGATGCAGGGCGCCCCGGGCTCCTTGAAGGGTGGCATATAAGCTCGGAGCAGGGCTTGCATAGATGGCCAGTTCCTCCCAAGGCGGAAGCGATGGACGAAGCGAAAGCGCTCCAAAACACTTGTTTGGCAGGCCATGTAGGGAAGATCCATGTCAAATTGTGGTACTCTGACGCAATTGACATTGTATATTCCTCAGGACAAAATGCTTGTAGTATACTGGCCTGAGACCGAAATCCATTGCAACAAAAAGGGTGCACTTGTGAGGAATTGAATTCGGGGGGGGCGGATCGCTAAAATAGATCAACTATTTCAAAGCTTCAGGTGCCAAATGCTACACCAAATGTAAGTCTGCGGGATGGCAGCAATAATTCCCAGGTATAGCTAAATTCAATTTAGCGGCAGGGACAGAATTACACAGTTCTTCGGGGGATTTGCCGGTCATTTGTAGCTAAGAAATGCCAAAAATAGAGTGTTGGAACTGTTGGAGTGACATCATGGGTATGTATTCAACTAGGAAGACCGAACTAGCAAACCGGATTCCGAGCGGTTCGGCCACAGGGACATTTTCTCCCGTCAACCCAGGCGAGGAAGGGGCGAGAAAGGGGGTCTGATTGTATAAAATACACGCCCAAATCCTCATAATATAGACTCATTTATTAATAATCCCTTTTTGCGGGTGGGTGCGCGTCGACACAAACCCTTATCATGTTGTATGACGGGTTTTGGTAGTGATCTGTGAAAAATGGCTGAGCATGCTAGCGAACAGAAAAACAAACTGTACAAACTGGAAAGTGTGAGACCGAACGAACAAAAGCGTGGAGGCGGTGCGATTGCAAGCTACAAGTCAGTCTAGCCATACACAGAGAAAGTACCAAGAGTAGCCGAGATTCCTACCCATTTAATTACGAATTGACTTGATTCATTCATGGGGCGCTCGGGTGTGCGATCGTATTAAAATCTTTGCGTCAAAAGAGTGCCATATCGGACGTGCTGCAAAAATGCATCCCCCCCATTTGGATTGAAGAACCTCTTCATATGGAGGGTTTATGAATCAAGAGTCTACATGAATCAACCTCGAGCCTCAGAAAAGTTAGCGGGCCAACTCTGTGGTTCTGGGAATCCCGACAAAAAGAGTGAAGAGATCAGCCACAACGGCCGGATGACATCGCGTGGCCAAAAAACATTGCCGTCAGATTGAATCACTTAGATCAAAATCTGGGTTTCCTTTCCGAAGGCATTGGACACCATCGACACCTGCCAACTTCTTGATGAACAAATCAGCCAACTTCTTCCAACACCAACCATCCATCACCCGCCCCAACTCGTTGGGCGTCCCCCACTTCATATCTCCAGCCACGTGGAGCAACTTCACTTTCTCACCACATTGGCAGCATCGCCTCCGGACGTTGCGGACGTCTGAAGGGTTCGGAATGCGGCGAGTCATGTGTCGACACGTGTCGAATCAGCATGCGGTGTCCGGGACATGCTGGCCAATCACACACCCGTGCAGCTTGGCCAATCTCAAGGTTAAGTGATGTATAGTGATGTCTCTTTTGTTCAATCATATATATATATATATATTTGCTTTATAAGGTATGTTTTTCCAAAGCGAGTTTACAGTCAAAGGATGTTGGAAACCATTTGTCAACATGTCATTGACAGAATGACTGTGTGTCAACCACACCATTTGCCAAACATGCATGTTCTGCAAGGGATCCCTTTGGTTTGCAAGGGATCCGAATGTTGTGCAGTTCCCATGCACCGTTCCCAAGCACCGTTCTCCAATGCCACGTTGGCAATTGAAAGCCAAAATTTCCCAGGGTTTGGTGATTTTGGGTAGCCAGCCCCTATAGGCCCTCAAGTGAAAATGACATAAAATAACTATAATATATATATATATAACATGTCAACACGAAAGCAAATGAACTAGATTGATGGGTGGTTTGCAGGTGTGCAAACATGTCAACAGGTGATTCTCAGAAAAACTCGCATCTCTCTGGATAACCTCGTCGCTCCGCCTGCCACTGCGGTCCGCTGAGCAGTAGCGTTCCTTCTTGTGGCCCTGAGGAACCGTGGTTCTCAACCGAGGAAGGCAAAGATGAAGTTGAAGCCATCATGCTACACTTCTGACGAACACAAAACACGAGTCGCAAGGACATTGAAAAATGGATGAACATGGTCCCTTACAAGACGCTTTCCTTTCAGGAACCGGGGGTGCCGGGTCCCCACTGAAGTGGGGGTGTTCGTCGGAGTGTCAATACCCTGCTAGAACCCACCAGTGACCCACTGTGACCCACTTTGTAGGTGTTAGGATGTTGCGGGTGGCTTTGGTGGGGTCAAAGTATCTTCACAGGCTTCACAGGATGTGTTCTTTTGAAGAGCAACACCTGACGCGTTCAGGAGTGAACAGTGAAACCTGACGTCACTAACTCGGCTGCTCCAAACAATACAAGCAAAGTGCACGCTTGCAATCGCAAGCATACACTCACTCATCAGGTCTCCATCGGGAATCCGGCAAAGAATCTTCACTCTTCAGCCTGAACCACCCAAAACAAATTGGGAATCGGAAACTCCTTCAAACCGGCCAAACCGGTGCAAAACACCATGAGATCTCGTCCCATGCAGCCAAACAGACGGCGATGCTGTTCGGCGAACACTCGGCAAACCTCGCCTCGTACAAGGCGTAGGCGCGCAAACGCTCCTGGCGGTTCACATCGCTCATCGGCAAAAAGGCCCAAGCGGACAAGACGTCCATCCTGAGCGGCGTCGAAGTCGAGAGGCGATCGAAGCCGAGGTCATGTTCCAGTGGATGCTACGGAAGGGAAGTATTTAATCTACCTATATATATATAGCCTATTATAGGCCAACATGTCTGCCCAATTTCACTTAGGCAGACAATTCTTGCTAAACACTCTCATCTCTACCATAACCGGGTCACGGGTCAGTCCCAACTTCTTGGATGAGCTGGTTGGATTCACTCGGTCATACGCTCGATCATTTGATGCAATCTGTCAAAGGCTCCGGAAGTGGCCAAAGGCAGTAGTTGGGTCTATCATCTATCCTATTACCAGTGGATGATGATGGGGCCTGGCTGCAGGCCTTTCTCAAAAAGAGTGGTTTGCTTGTTTACCAAGGGCATCCAACGGCTCTACAGGTTTGCTGGGACAAACCCAAGGCATCAGTGATGATGCATCCAAAGACGGAGTTCATGAAACATGTGACGATGTCTTTGTGTCAGTGCACGAGGAAACAGAAGAAATCATGCACCCCCTCCCTGAATGAAACACGAAAGCTCTAGCAAACATGAGCAAAACAGGGTCTGGTGTTTAGAAGTGCTGAAAAGCCCTCCCTCTTCAGCAAATGGAACTGAGAACCTAGCTCTGGAAGAGCTGACACGGACCCCCCTGTCTGTGAAGGCCATTTCATCGCTCGATCGTTGCGACTCTGCACCTCGCAGATTGACCATATGTCTTTCGTTCAAACAAAGCCAACCCCCACCAGGATTTCTTAGAGATTCTTGGACAGTCGAAAACGCCCAGGCAAGTGGGTAAAGCAAAGTTCCGGGCGGCGTAAGTGTACTCTCGACACTTCTCCTGGTGGGGTGCCATGGAGAACCTTTGTGTCAAATGGTCTTCTGGCAACGCGGGCAACAAAAAAAACACATGCATTTCGAGGAATAGTCCACTCTTGAATGTTGCAAAGGCGAAGCATTTTGTGTGACACAAAACAAATTCGCCATTGCAACATTCAAGTGCCTGGAGCCGACTGCCTGGGCCTGCGACCGCCTGGTGCCTAGGCGGGGCGGCACAAAACAAATATCGAAGGCCCGTGGGGCCCGTGGGCACCAGTTGCCCCAGTTGCCCCCCAGTTGCTGGAAGAACTTGCAGCTCAAAAAACCCTCAAAGTGCTCGACGAATGTGCTCGACTCGTGCGAAAGACCTCTCGTGCTTCTTTCGATGCTCGACTCGTCTTCCTCTCCAGTGAGCTGAACTCGTAGGAACGAACGTGCTGTCCATCGAGGATGCGAGGCGAGTTCCAGTCCAAAGGAGCTTAACGGAGGAGCTGAAGACGGATGGGTTTGGTCGGCATGGCCCATTCCCCAACCCACCAACCCATTGGAATGGCTCATTCTCCGTCTTTCTTCATGCCAATCTTTCTGAAAAGATCTGCGTGGTATGCTCCCGTCCACGCAACAATCTCAATGCTTGCTGCCATTGCCCAGCCTTTTCACAGGCAGTGATCGTGGCACTGTAGCTAATTAAATCAGGCTTCACGTTGGCCTGATACATGACCTCAAACAACCTCAGCGCTTGCTGCCATTCCCCGCCCTTTCCGCAGGCGCTGATTGCTGCATTGTAGCTGATCACGTCGGGCCGCAAATTGACCTTGGGCATGGCTGTAAACAATGTCAATGCCTGTTGCCATTGCCCTCCCTTTTCGCAGGCACTGATTGTCGCATTGTAGCTAACCACATCGGGTTGCAAGTTTGCCTTGTACACGGCCTCAAACAAACTCGATGCTTCTTGCCATCGTCCGCCCTTTTCACAGGCACTTATAGCCGCACTGTAGCCAATAACATCAAGCCGCATGTTCACCTCGAGCATGACCTCCAACAACTTCAACGCTTGCTGCCATTGCCCGTCCTTTTCGCATGCACTCATTGCCGCACTGTAGCTGAACACAGTGGGTTGTAAATTTGCCTGGGACATTGCCTGCATCAACGCTAATGCTTGCTGCCATTGCCTGCCCTTCTCGCAGGCACTGATCACCGCATTGTAGCTAGTCACAGTGGGCTGCAAATGTGCCTTTGGCATGGCCTCCAACAATATCAATGCTTGCTGCCATTGCCCGGCTTTTTCACAGGCACTGATGGTTGCATTGTAGCTGATCATATTGGGCAAAATGTTGGTCTTGGGCATAGCGGCAAACAATGTCAACGCCCGCTGCCATTGCCTCCCCCCTTTCACAGGCACTGATGGCTCCATTGTAGTTTACAACGTTGGGCTTCATGTTGGCCTCGAGCATGGCCTCGAAAAGAGTCAATGCTGGCTGCCATTGATGGCCCCTTCTATAGGCACTGATTGCCGCACTGTAGCTAAACACAGTGGGCTGCAAGTTTGCCTGGGACATAACCTGAAACAACACTATTGCTTGCTGCCATTGTTGGCCCTTTTCACAGGCACTGATTGCCACATTGTAGTTAACGACATTGGGCTGCATGTTTGTCTTGGACATGGCCGCCAACAACTTAACTGCTTGCTGCCATTGCCCACTCTTTCCACAGGCACTCATAACCACACTGTAGCTAATAACGTTCACCTGCAAGCTGGCCTCGCGCATTGCTTCAAACAACCTCAATGCTTGTTGCCATTGTCGATCCTTCTCACAAACACTCATTACCACGCTGTAGCTAATGACATTCGCCTGCAATGTGGCCAAGGGCATATCCTCAAACAACTTCAATGCTTGCTGCCAGTGCCCACCCGCTTCAAGGGCACTGATGGTTGCACCGTAGCTGATCACATTAGCCTGAATGTTGGCCTTGGGCATAGCCTCAAACAACATCAATGCTCGCAGCCATTGCCTGGCCTTTTTACAGGCACTGATGGTTGCATTGTAGCTAATCAGATTGGGCTGAATGTTGGCCTTGGGCATAGCCTGAAACAACTTCAATGCTTGCTGCCACTGCCCGCCCTTTTCAGAGGCACTGATTGCTGCATTGTAGCTGCTCACATCAGGCTCAATTCTGGCCTTGGGCATAGCCTCAAACAATGTCATTCCTTGCTGCCACAATTTTGACTTGGCATAAAATGATATGGCAAAAACATACTGGGAAGCATTTAGCTTGATTGTCTCATGTTTCTGGATTGCTTCCAAGAAAGGAAACACAAGATTGCCGTTCTGCTGGTCACTCAGAGCTCTCAAGACCTGTGGAAGCTTTTCCTCTGAGCGTAGCACTTCCGGGAGCAGCACACTTCCAATGTTGCTTTCATTCGCCTTCCTGCAAAGCTCCAGCACTGCTTCGTCCATGGTGCTTTCCCCTACAGATCGCCGCTGTCTGAAACAAACACGTCCAAGCCTCATTGGGCTCACACAGGAAGGACATCAAAACCCAAAACCCTTGAGCCCGAGGTCTGGCATTGAATATTCACATCCGCAACAATCCCCGCGTGTTCTTGCCCAACACGTCCACGTCACCCTGGTCGCCCCATTCAGCGTGGTCAGGTCTGCACCTGGATCAAACTGATAGGTTTTGCTCCCCCCAAAAAAACACGTAGACTGGTCGATTTCCCCAACCTTCCAAGGGTCGTTGCCGCATTGCCTCGCAGGTGTCCTACTATTTCAATACACACCCCTGTACAATGATATATAACCCTATAGTGCATCACATCAGTCAATTCCCCCAAAGCAAACATATCTAAACAACTCAAAACAGTTCAAAACATATGTTTGTCTTTGGTGAGATAATATACCAACATGTTAACATGTGCATCTTGATCAAAAGTCCAAACAGTCGGCTTTGCCGACCAACATGTCAATCGCATGACCAGCGGAGTTCTTCTTCTGTTCGTCCCGATAGTGGTTTGGCGTTCCCGTCTCTCGAAAAACTATATGACTCACTGGGACCAATCATCTCAAGTAGAGGTTGAACATCAAACCCTAGGGAGTCCCAGTGATGAGACTATTGGTAGAACTGAGACTCTACTGGGAGTCCCTAGGGATTGATATTAAGATACAAATATAATATACAAACCCTAGGGATCCAGTCGTACCGAACCTCAGGTACAGTGAGGACGGAGACTATTGATGTAGGCACCAGGAGGGCCCAGTTGTACCTTCTGAGAAGGTATGTGGATCCCTAGGGAAAGAATAATATAGAAGAATATCTGAAACCACCCGCCAGCTCCGTGTTTTTTAAAGTGTCTGTAAAACATCAACAGAAAATACCAACCGGGCCAACGGGCGCCGACGGGGTGATGTGAGCTCCCGTCTATCAGGGATCTGTCTATCTATGTGATCGGCGGCAGTTCTTAGGGAAGTCAGGGAAGTCATTGGACTGATGTAAAACAGGTGATTTGAAAGAATCCAAAGAATTCCAAAGACCCATCAACCAAAGGGATTGGACAGGTTTTTGGAGTGCTCCCATCTTCGACCTCAAAAATCACCAGGATGCGCTGGGTGTAGACCCTACAAGTCATCACCCTAAACAGGCCGTAAACAGGTGATGACTTGACAAGTGAACAGAGACTTGTCATAACAGACTTGCTTCACCTGTTATAACAGGTTAGGAAGTAAACAGGTCATAAACAGGTCTCTACAAGTCGCCTTCGTCGCTTTCACCGGTCCGAGACCGGCAGGACCGGTCGGAGGACCGGGGTCGCCCAGCACGCGATGCTTCCAAGAGTCGTCCCAGATGCTTCCGGGATCTCTTGGGTCATACCCCCCCCCCGAAAAAAATGGATTTTGGAACATAATTGGATATGATATGATGATGTCCCAGCAAGGACACAACATCAAATAACATCAAATACATGTTTCTCACACTGCTCTCCCCACTTCATCCCTAGATTCTTTCCTCTCCCCTTTTCCTCCCCAGAAATTCCTCACGTCCGAAGCGCTCATCGGGGCAAAAGACTTCCAACCGCGTCACGGAGACCTCAGCGCCGCGCCAATACCGTCGCCGGTGCGGCCGGTGCGATTGGTGTCGCACACCACTGATCATATGAACTGATTGGTGTTGGGCTGAGCTGAGTCTCAGGTCCAGGGCACCTGCCCCGCCCCTTGATGGCTAAAAGAACCAGCACACATGAGCAACAAAAAGAACATAGTAGGTCGGTTTAGGTCTGTCAGTCTGTCAGGGTCTGTGCAAGGCGTCCTGGGTTTGCTGGGTCTCCTGGTTCCAAAACGTCGAGCACCGCCGAACTTCTGGAGCACTCCGAAAAGCCGCGCTTGCGGAGTCAAGCGCGATTTGGCCAACTCTACAGTGTCCTGCGTGTACTCATCGATCACTTGTGACGCGTTTTTTTCTGATCCGGTGCCATATAGGAACAGACTGTCAGACTGTCAAACCTGGCAACGCGGTCAACTTCTGTCCAAAGCATGTCCGGTGTTCCACCACGTCGCAACCGGGTCCGGTGGAGAAGGACCGGAAGACGTGCTCCGGTCCGGTGCGAGGTGCTCCAGACGCCCACCATGGGACTGGACGTGCTTCACGGGACTGGCCTTCACCCCCTGCCATAGATCGATTCTCAAACTATTCATGGGACTGGCCTATTGACTGATGAGGACAGGGGTGGTTTTTCTTGATTCCAAGCGTCTTTCTGGGGCGGCATTTCTTTTTCCAGTCCCATGGATGGAGTCTGGGGTTGAAGTAATGTAAAGTCTTCATGCACTGCGGCACTGGGGCGGCCAAGATTCCGTCCCCTTGTACCTGGAAAAGTTCAATTGGTCCCGATCTCTCCAATCAATGGCCACTGAATGGCCTAGATTTGCAAGTGGTCAAGCGCCAGAAGGCCAGTTCCAATCACCTCAAACGGCGCCAGAGCTTGCCGCATGGTGCTTGACCACTTGCTTGGATCAGGAAAAAAGAATGAAAAGCGCGAGGCTGCCTTGCTGATACTGAGCCCCTGGAGGTCGATGTTGAAAGCTCCAGGCATGCATTGCTGATACTGGTTATGAATCTCAGCCTAGTATGCCCAACCTGTTAGACGATGCATCAAACGCATCTGAGATTATCTGATCCGAATCTAGGACCGTATCACCTCGCGTCCTGGGCGACTCGCCAGACTCACACTGAGCATGTCGAAGGACCATGGCCTCGACCTTTGCGTGGCATGGCCCCCAAGAAGTGCAATGCCAGCTGCCATTGCCCGACCTTTTCACAGGCAATGACGACGGCACCTGAGATTTTGCTGGGAACCGGGAAAAAGAATAACACATATTGGGTCTATCCTAATACCTGGGCCCAGTGGATGATGATGGTTCTATAGAGGCCGACTGTCCAAAAATAGTGATACTTGTAGGCCTTGTCCCAATAGGTTGGGGAATAACACATTCCCTATAGCTTTGGGGATTCACCCAGTAAGGGGACATCAAAAATAATCATCCCATCTGCGAAATCACGGCACTGAAGCTGATCAGTGTTGGTTGAATGCTGGCCTTGGGCATGAACTCAAACAAACTCAATGCTTGTTGCCAACAACCACCCTTTTCACAGGCACTCATGGCCGCATTGTAGCTAACAACCGTTGGTTGAATGTTGGCCTTGTGCATGGACTCGAACAACGTCAATGCACGCTCCCATTGACCGCACTTCTCACAGGCACTGATGGCCGCACTGTAGCTGATCACCTTGGGTTGAATGCTGGCCTTAGGCATGGCATCAAGCAACGCCAATGCTTGCTGCCACTGACCACACTTCTCACAGGCACTAATGGCCGCGCTGTAGCTAATGACATCCGGCTGGATGTTGTGCTTCTGCAATGACTCAAACAGCGATAATGCTTGCTTCCATTCACTTCCCTTTCCAAGGGCACTGACAGCGGCATTGTAGCTAATCACGTCGGGTTGGATGTTTGCCTTGGGCATTGCATCAAACAACATCAATGCTTGCTGCCATTGACCACACGTTTCGCACGCACTGATGGTCGCATTGCAGCTGATCGTAGTTGGTTGAATGCTGGCCTTCAGCATGGCGCTGAAGACTTTCAATGCTCGCTGCCATTCCCGACCCCTCCCAAGGGCACTAATGGCCGCGCTGCAGCTGATCACACTTGGCCGAATGCTAGGCATGGGCATGGCATCAAATAACCTCAATGCGTGCTGCCATTGCCGGCCCTTCTCACAGGCACTGATGGCTGCATTGTAGCTGATTACGTTGACCCGAATGTTAGCTGTGGGCATAGCATCCAGCAACATCAATGCGCGCTGCCATTGCCCGCCCTTTTCACTGGCACTGAGCATTGCATTGTAGCTAATCAAATTGGGCCAAATGTTGGCCTCGGGCATGGCCTGAAACAACTTCAATGCTTGCTGCCACTGCCCGCCCTTTTCAGAGGCACTGATTGCTGCATTGTAGCTAATCACATCAGGCTCAATTCTGGCCTTGGGCATAGCCTCAAACAATTCCATTCCTTGCTGCCACAATTTTGACTTGGCACATGATGATATGGCAAAAGCATACTGGGACGCATATAGCTTGATTTTCTCATGCTTCCGGATTGCTTCCAAGAAAGGAAATATAAGAATGCCATTCTTCCGGTCACTCAGAGCTTTCAGTACCTGTGGAAGCTTCTCCTTCGAGCGTAGCACTTCCGGGAGCAACACACTTCCAATGTTGCTTTCAGTCGCCTTCCTGCAAAGCTCCAGCACTGCTTCGTCCATGGTGCTTTCCCCTACAGATCGCCGCTGTTTGAAACTAACACGTCCAAGCTTCATTGGTCTCACACAGGAAGGACATCAAAACCCTTGAGCCCGAGGTCTGGCATTCCTATTCACATCTGCAATTATTCTTCACATTTGCATGAGTGTTTAACTTGAAAACCAAGCAGAAAAAAAACACCGCTGTTTTTTAACTTCATCTGTTTAGATCGAACCGGAGGACCCCAAAGATCAAGGTGAAGCGAACGCACTCCACTCGTTTTCTTGTTTTAGTGGAGAGACCGATTTCCCCCCCAAAAAAGGTGTTTTGCAGGAGACCGTTTTCCGAAACAATCGCGGAAGTATGTGGAAGTGGGACTTCTCCTGTTAGAGGAAAGCCGTTCTTCCTTTCGGTGCCATGTTCCGTTCCACTTCCATGTTAGTTCGGAGGGTACTTACATTGACCGCATACAATTCTTCCCCGTGAAATGAGATGGTATACCAACCAAGCTATGTGTTCGTTTGGTTTTGGAACCAGCCATGTTTATCTATTTTCTATCCAGTGATCTGTGATTCCAGGTGTCTCCAGTGAGCCACCTCCGTCAGCCAAAACGAAGCCCAGAAAAAACCGCACCCCTCAGTCTCGGGTGACCCCAGGCTTGGCTCCGATGGCGTGCGCACGCGTGCCACCGGCGGTGTCACCTTCTTCACCGGTTGGAACCCGAAGCCAACATCTTCCGCACAAGAGGATTCATCCATAGACAAACATCAACAAAGGAAACCTAATCAAAACCGAGGAACCCTGGCCAAAGTAGGCTGACGGTGACAAGCTGGAATGGAAGCTCTAGAGAAATGCAATTAATGTCCTCATAACCCTGGAAGTGCCACGCATCCTGAGGCCAGCGCCATGCCAGGGTAGCGCCGTCGCTCTCGTAGCTGGGGTAGCCAACGTTCAGGGCCTGAGCCAGTGCCGTTGGGATCCTGAAGATCCCCAGAGCCCGTAGCATGCCCATAGCCAAATAGTCAGTATGACACATCCATTCACTACATTTCACCACCAAAACCAACCAAATTGTTACAATTTTAGACTCTTGTTGGGGAGCATCTGAGCATCTGGGAGGTGCTCTGGTTCAGTTCTGATCTGAAGATGGAATCTCAGTCAATCCAACCTACACTTTGACTTACCAACATGGAAGTCAAGGACTTTCTGTTTCTAGAGGAATCACTCTTCCAGGGGCCATGCCATTCACTTCCATGTGGAGAACCCCCGTAGCGAGACTATAGTATGGGTATACAGTAAAATAGGGAGACCTACCATGCAACTTTTCCCTGGGTTCGGTTCGGGAAATGGACCAACATCCAGTCGGCCAGGGGGTCTCCCTTAAAAAGAACAAACTACTGGGAGGATCATCACAAACTTCCAGAAGACAGAGTGGATACGGTATATCGCACCCCACCAGAGACAGTGGATGATGATGGATGATGGCTACGGTTGCAGGCCAACATCTCCCAAAAAGAGTGACGATCCTTTTACAAAGTGTTACTGGTAACGGGAAGTTACCCTATGGGTGGATGCTTCTACCAAGTCCGAGAGGTCCAGCAAACATATGATTGTCAGTACCAACCGGACATATGGGATTGGGTTCCTGGAAAGGGCCAAGGAAGTTCTTCCAAAGGGATGATGTGAAGCCGAAGTTCTGCTTGGACCAACGAAGGGTTGGTAGCAATGCTTGGGTCGAAACACAGCCCCAGCTAACAGCATCTACCTCCTTCTGTGTGTTTGTGTATGGCCGAGCGCTCTACTAGTCTATGGTCTTTGGTGAGGAGAAAGTTCGCAGTAGCCCTGACTGGAAAGAATGATCGAAAGAACCCCCACTACACTCCGGTCGATGGATTGATGGATGATGATGGGTGAGTAGCTTTCGAATGCTTTCGGTGGTTCGTTTGCTGCTTTCCTGGTAAGTTCGAGAGTATATACCAGGAACTCCATCATATATCATCATATACCTCACCCCACTAGATTGTCCTGTGGAATTTGGCTCTTGAATCTCCTGGGTTTGATCCGCCTGGAAAGGACAACAAAAACCATGTGATGATTCTTCGGGGAGTGTTGATTCTGAGGTCTTGAAGGTCTCTTGAGCGATTCGAGGGTCGAACCAACCTTTTTATGCCCTAAGAACATGACATCCCTATGGAGGTTTAGGTGGGGGGTATGGAACCTCTTTTTATAGATATAAAGTAGTGGATCATCCCTTAGGGGCCTCGAATTGAAGGAGACTAAGGAAACAAGCATTTACATAAAATGACCATGAGCTACGTACAACATGCCTCATCCAAGCAGCTGTGCAAAAGCTGACACAGAGCTTGCAACAACACCCCATCCTCTATAGAATGACGCCCCAACCCCCCCTCATTTCATAGAGGATACCTCCATGGGTATGACATGACTTAGGAGGCATTTTCCATTGCAATCTGTATTGTGCTGGTGGTCCACAACCTTTCTGTTGAACTGGCAGCCACACCTGAAAATGACCTCAAGAAGCAACCGCGCAAAACAGAATGAGCGCATGGTCAGACGCCACAACATCATTCGCAGCAAAAGACCTGGCAGCCCTGGCACCATTTTCAATCCTGAAACTGCGAGCGAGACCCATGGCCCGTGAGTGCCATTGCGAAGGTTCGTCAACCCTTCAAAGCCTGACTGGTGCGACGCAAGTTTGGTTCCCAAGAGAGATTCCTACTCGCTTATATTATAGCCTTCCATTCAGCAAACAGAGTTCGGTTGAGCTGGCGTTGTAGTCTACAGCCTCGGAAACATATCCTTCAATCAATGGTTGGCCAGGAATGCTAGGGTACTGTCTCACCGCAACAGTGGACGTCACTGCGACAGTTCTTGAGATACGTGGCCAAGTGCCTTGCCAGCGCTTCAGCAACAAGAGAACTTATCAGTTGAAGCTGGCTCCAGCACGGCGCAGGGCTGGCAAGTCTGCCTCCCCCAAACAAACTTGAATTGCACCTTGGTTCTTGCGCAACACCGCTGCTTGAAGTCCGAGATCGTCTTGCAAGAGTTTCAAGCTCGCCTGGCGCATGTCTGTAGTGTCCCACTCTTTCCGAGATTTGCCATACCCAGTGACGATGAGGCATGTCAATTCCTTCTCCTGCTCCAGCTTTGTGGCAATTGCAGTGGAAAGCCAGTGACACAGCACAGCACGGGCAAATCCCTCGGAGAGGTCATGAAGGTCGATCTCCGAAGCGCCACAGCCCTTCAATTCCAGAATCTCTGGTAAGTTGCACTTCTCAAACAAAGCTCTGCCAATGGCACTGTCCCGGATTTCAGCACAATCAAATAAGGCATTGTAACTTACCAAATCTGGTGGCACATTTGCCTCAAACATGGACTCAAACAACTTCAATGCTTGCTGCCATTGCCCGCCCTTCTCACAGGCACTGATGGCAGCACTGTAGCTGATCATGTTGGGCTGAACTTTCACCTTGGGCATGGCCTCAAACAACTTAAATGCTTGCTGCCATTGCCCGCCCTTCTCACAGGCACTGATGGCAGCACTGTAGCTGATCATGTTGGGCTGAACTTTCACCTTGGGCATGGCCTCAAACAACTTAAATGCTTGCTGCCATTGCCCGCCCTTCTCACAGGCACTGATGGCAGCACTGTAGCTGATCATGTTGGGCTGAACTTTCACCTTGGGCATGGCCTCAAACAACTTAAATGCTTGCTGCCATTGCCCGCCCTTCTCACAGGCACTGATGGCAGCACTGTAGCTGATCATGTTGGGCTGAACTTTCACCTTGGGCATGGCCTCAAACAACTTAAATGCTTGCTGCCATTGCCCGCCCTTCTCACAGGCACTGATGGCAGCACTGTAGCTGATCATGTTGGGCTGAACTTTCACCTTGGGCATGGCCTCAAACAACTTAAATGCTTGCTGCCATTGCCCGCCCTTCTCACAGGCACTGATGGCAGCACTGTAGCTGATCATGTTGGGCTGAACTTTCACCTTGGGCATGGCCTCAAACAACTTAAATGCTTGCTGCCATTGCCCGCCCTTCTCACAGGCACTGATGGCAGCACTGTAGCTGATCACATCGGGCTGAACTTTCGCCTCGGGCATGGCCTCAAACAACTTCAATGCTTGCTGCCATTGCCCACCCTTCTCACAGGCACTGATGGCAGCATTGTAGCTGATCATGTTGGGCTGAACTTTCGCCTTGGGCATGGCCTCAAACAACTTCAATGCTTGCTGCCATTGCCCACACTTCTCACAGGCACTGATGGCAGCATTGTAGCTGATCCTGTCTGGCTGAACTTTCGCCTCGGGCATGGCCTCCAACAACTTCAATGCTTGCTGCCATTGTCCGCCCTTCTCACAGGCACT